ACTCCCTAATCCTTGCTGAACTTTCTCTCTTTCTTTCTATTAAACTTCTGTTTTTGGGCATGCCAGAATCAGTGAGTTTTTCTGTGAGTGATTCTTATGAACAGCAAGATTTGAACAAAATTTAAATACTTAATCAGCTTTAATAAACTGACAAATGTATTTCTTGCCTCGGGAATTTATTAAGGAAGCGGCCTTTTGTCTCAAAAAGTAGCAGTTAAACTTGCTTAAAAAAATTCCACACTAATGAAAGATTTGGGGCAATAAAAAACTTTTCCTTCCGATTTGTTTTGATACGGAAGGGCAGTGCTAATAGTGATGATAAGGTTACTTCGACGGAGGCGCAAAATTTTCGCGCATTCTTTTACAATATTATTACACCTAACATAGGCTATTTGCCAAAAATTCTTCCCATACTTCAGGCGGAAAGAAGAACACCTTTATTGCAGTCTCGGTTAAAAGTTAATGTTGATTGATAGGTCAAGAAATTTTGCCTATAGCTGTAAAAAAAATTTTATTTGGCGGAAAAAGAAAAGAGAAAGAAGCGAATCATTTACGAAAACAGTATTTTTCTTGCTGTACACGTTTCTACGAAATTTCTTTTTCTCTTTGTGTCTGTCCGAATAGTTCAAGGTACCCTAACTATATGTGCTCAAATAATTCAATCGATGAACTACGGAAGCTAGAAAGCTGAAATTTTGAAAAAATAGTTCCCAGAAAATCAGCCTAATCTTAGAACTTAGGATCCAAGCAGCTGCGAACCAAAATTCAAAATCCGTGTGGTTTTGCACAATGAATTAAGGAGCTAAAATTCTCAGACAGTAACCCCCAAATATTTAAATCACGCCTATTTTTCCAATAGTTAATCACCTGTTGGCAAGGCTGTCAGTGGTTCCGTCTTTTGGGGATTGCTTAGAAGCAAGCTAATGAGAGAGATTTGGACCTGCTGATTAACGCACTTGTGGAGTCTAACTCTTGATCTTCATCAAGAGAGTGACATTGTTTAAGAGAGTGACATCATTTTCGCCAGAAGGTTTATCGACCGTTAAAGTTTTGTGAAATGTGTGTGTGGTACAGGATTTAAAAAAATTGTATTTTTTTACGTCACATTCTTCTAAAATGTTTTCCTTTACTTCACATTCTTCTAGAGTGACAAGAAGAGGCGGGGGGAGTGGGAATTTAGGTGCTCCTTTACTCTATGTAACTGAATATTTTTCCGTTCAGAATTTCACATATTTTCAGGCTGTCCACATAACCCGTTGATATTTAACCCATAGTGCTGTAAAAAGCTATGTGTGACTGAGTGAGAGAACAAGCCGGTTTCTGAGCTAATAGGAAGTCCATAAAAGTGCGCTCGCAAAGCTTGTTGATGTGCTGATGATGATGATAATGATTACGAAGAATGATGGTTGGATTATCCTCGACTTAATGCCGCCGCCATCAATCCATTCATCCAACGTAGACAGCGAGCTGCAAACAAACATCGATACATTTTTACATAATACAGCATAATCCTTTCTCCTAGCCCCTTTACTATACTACTACCCATTAACTGCAATAAAACTGAAGTCTAGTAAAGAAAAAAGAGGATGGAGGGAGGGGGCGGGGAGGGGGAGGGGTAATTTTTATTGAATTTCCGAATTGATTTCCAGTATAAATGATTATGGCTTGTTCCTAAACAATCCTCGAAAGCCTACAAGTGACATTACTTCCTGCTTCTTTTCAAAAAAAAGCAGACCAGTTTTTTCGTTTTTTTTTCTGAGAACAAGGAAAAATAAACACTAATTATTTCGGTAAAAATCGGGTTTTTTCAGTACAAAAGCGCGCACTCGAAGATGGCCGCGAACCGTCCAGCTTGCCGATTACCGTGCAGCATAGCCGGGAAAAATCCAGCGATTCCCGTTCCCCACCTCCGGAATATCCCAGATCACCTGATCTATTGCGAAAAGCAGAAGCCAAAGGTGTTCCAGTTACAGTCGAAAGCAGTCGGCACAGGTGCAGACAATTTTATCGTTATAACTATGCGAAGTGTGCTTCACGTTTTAATGTGAATGAGTAGGATGCAGGATAATTGAAATGCCTGGGACCGCTGGTAATTCATCTTTAATTATCTGTTTGAGCAGCTAGCAACTCTTATATAAGTTGCTTTGACCAATGCTGCACCGCTTTGCTTTCAGCCACCTGCTGGCCCTGGTGTTTAGACGAAGGACACTTACTTGAATACTTGAGCAGCTGTATGTCATCG